CCCCCCCCCCCCCCCCCTCCTCCCCCCAACTACATTTTCACCCATATCTTCAGCCGTAGTCAGCGACCTGCTGCTCTACTAGCTCCGAAACAATTTTTCAGCAAGAAGACGTCCCTATGGGTTGAGTGGAGTGCTTTGTGCTGAGAAATATCCTTGAGCCTAAAAAGTGCTCCAGTAGTGGATAGTCATCGAAAACGACTGGAGTTTCTGAGGCCGGGTGAAGGTGGAGCAGCTTCCAACAGAGGTATTCAATTTGGCTTAAAATGCATGAAGGTTGATGCTCAATGAAGCAACAAATGATCTGAACCTTTTCAGCAGTGCCATAGCTAACCATGTGCAAGTAGTTACGTTAAATTATTTCCAAGGACATTTTGCTTCACTTGATTTTGAAAAAAAAGGAGATTCTCATGTCATCAAAGCGTTTTTTTCCAAAACAAAGCCTTATTTCCCCCCTACTATGAAGATAGTGGGAATCACGAAAACACCACGGATGAAGAACTACGTTCATGGCCGAAAAAGAATCGAAGCTACTAGAAAATCAAAAAGACTCGAGTAACTGTCAGGTTGAAATGAAAATAGCAATCAAATATGGTCATTATAGTCGTGAACGTTACCGAAATTGCCTCTTCCCAAAAAAATATTTTGTTTATACGACAGAGGTTTGCGTTTCTTGATGAGAATAAATTTCAATTGGTGTGAAAAGGAAGAACAAAACCACAGTAATAAACCAAATTTCGTCAAGGACAATGAAATCATGCTATCTTCGACTTGAATCTACCTATTCGTACCAACTGAGCAGAAATCTCTCCCGAATACTTTGATACCACCTGCTCTTACTAGGTAAGCTATGGCACTGTCAGAAAAAAGACTCATGACATCTACTATAAGGCTCTAAACGACGAAAGGAAAAGGCTACAAATTGAAAGGAGCTACTGAAAAGGACGTTCAACAAGTCCGTGAGTTATCCAGTAAAAAGCAATGATATCAATAGAAAAGCCTAGAAGTAGTGGAGCTCCACAATTAAGCTCTCTTCTGAACGTACTGATCATCATAGGTCCATTGTAAGTCAGTAAGAGCTAACGAGAGCTATGTGAATTGTCTACCAAAAGTGAAACCAGTGGGTAACTGATAGGAATCCAATAACAAAAACGGCCACAAAATGTAAAATAAGCAGTTTAACAACAAAAAAGCCTAGAGCCACTGCACAGAGTGGTTGCGGCGATCGATAATGGAGTTAAGTTATCATGATTAGCTCGCCCTCCTGGATTCGGATCGATTTGACCTACTCGATCCATGACCGAACTCTTCACATGGGTGGTCAAAAACAATCAGTACTCCATGTAAACGTACTACAAGTCGATACGGACTAGTAATTCAGAATTCAAGCTTTCTCTTCATTGTTATAAGAATCAGCCTTTGCATTCTTTCCTGAGATGAAGTTGCACATCCAATTCCGTTTCTATGGACTTCTAGATGTAAGATAATAAAGATTGGCTTCAATTTCACACCTTAAAGTTTACTGAAGATATATTCTAATCCACAAGAATAGAAGAATATTGGCCCTCCCGGCGTGGTATTGCTTATCGAGGCTATTGTTCTTTTCTTATTAGTAGATTGCACCTCTTTAGTTGACATTTGTCTCAGAAGAATATAATGCATTGGGACCAGTGCTTGTTGGGAGGCTTTCTCTCGATAAAAAGACTGATCTGGCGACAGATCGAAGTCCCAAATTGCATGCCACTTAGCGAGACATCTAGCCAGCACAGCTGACAAGAATATGCTATACCGTGAGACAACTAGCTACGAAATATCGAACGCTGTGGGAAGGATAGCGACTTTTCCTACACACCCAGCCTCGAAAACGAAATAGCAGCTCAAGGGCATGCCTGAGCAGTAGTTCACCCAGCCTACACTTCTGTAGCCCCAATTCTGGTCTAGAAGTATCAGTCTGTCAACGGCCCCATTACAATTTTCCTCCTTTACAGAACCATTGAAACGTAAGATTTTTTGCCAAAAAATTGAGGAATCATTACAGACTCTTATTATCAACTGAAAATCCTCTGTGAATCTTGACTCAAATGAGCAGGTATTCATCAAACCCTCAGCTATGCATGTCCTCGTAGAAATCTCAGATGCATGGCACAATCCGAGGAAGTCATAGAATGCGAGACCCTCAGACCTTTACCACTTCATTACTTCACATTACATACCCTTTGAGATGGCTAAATAGTCAATAATTTCGTAGAGAAGTCAGAAGCATGGCGGCTCCCACTTGAACTTATTGACAAGAACCGGATCGAAAGGAAATTTCGCTTTGTCTGTTGATGAAGAGCAGGTA